AGGTCCTGCTCCATCAGAAAGACATGGAACACGTTCTCAGTTTGGTAACCCATCTGCCAAATATACCAGTGATGCCAAGGCAATATGGAAGTATGAGATTGACAGGAGTGCTGTCCTGGAGAGGGGCATTGTGGCTCTCTCTGTGACCCCACCAACTGACGCTCCTGTGGGGAAATACTCCCTGTCTGCAATGACACATGGTGAAACAAGAAATCTGGGAACTTTGGTGGTGCTCTTCAACCCCTGGTGCTCTGGTAAGAAACAAAGTTTTAGTCCTGATAAGTAAAACAAAAGAAAAAGAAAAAAGACAGACAATCTGTAACTAATAGAAGTTATTATCTATAGATAGAGGTTTTTGTTGTGTTTTTGATATATGAACTTACCATAAAAGCTGAGTCATTCTGCAAATAAATTGGCTAAGGATGCTTGCATTATATTTGCATGTGTCTGCAGGTGACTGGGTGTATCTCCCTGATGACAGAGAAAGACAAGAATATGTGATGAATGAAGAGGGAACCGTCTACACAGGAACATCACACTACATAGGTTCACAGCCCTGGATCTTTGGACAGGTCAGCACCAGAGTGCTGCCATGCTTATGCTGCCATATTTGGCCAGTATTCTGAAGGTTACACAAAATTGAATGTTCCACAGGCCCCGCTGGTTTAGAGACTTATTCCTCACGAAGAAAGCAAGACAATGACGGAACCGGGTTTTACATGCTAGCAAGGGAGGCTGGTCGGAACCAGGTCTTGGAGCTAAACGCTCCTCACCTGTCTCCTAGCCAGCATCAAATAAACAGCCTTCCTTGCTGCCTTTTATTGAAAACAGTTACAGTACACACAAGCACCACCCATTGTAAAAGCCCCCTATGGTTCTAAAAGATAAGGCACTATGTGTGTATGTGTGTGCACGTGTAAGCACGTGTATGTATGTGTGTGTATGCATGTGAGAGAATGTGTGTGTGTATGCATGTGAGTGTGTGTGTTTGTGTTTGGGGGTGCGTTTGTGTGACCTCCTGCTTACCAAAAGGGTAATAAAAGCAGGAAGCTTACTAACCAAGAAAACAAAACCCTCACATAGATGTCCCTATAATAAAACACTACAGCCTCACCCACCATTTAACAGGCTGGAGAGGTGGTCAGAGACAAAGGAATGTCTTTGATCATACAGTTTGAACTAAGACTTACAAATTTAAGTAACACAATGACAACATTTAACAATTTGACTCTAACATGATATTGTTATTTTTCTGTTGATTACAGGTGACTTCTTTTATCAGACTAACAATATTGATGTTTCCATGATGCAGTCACTGGAAGGCAATTGTCAATAATTTTCGATGTAAAACTTAAAATTATTGATGTTGGTCCAAAATAATAATTATACAGCAATACGCACCAGTAGCATATTCTGTTAGAAATCCACATTAGTTTTATTTTTCTACAAGAGAATTAAGAACATTAAAGTGTGCTGTTTAATTTGAAGAATATTTGATACACCGTGTCATAACAAAAGTGGCCTTTGAGCTTCTGACTGGTCACAAATTCATGACAAAGATCCCTAATCTGACAGCCAGATTAATAATACATTATTTCCTGCAATTGGTATTGTAGCTCTAACTTGTGCTTCTTACCCAGTTCGAGGAGGAAATGGCGGACATTTGTCTCAAGATATTGGATGCCAACCTCAAACACAGAAAAGACCCAGCTGGTGACACATCTGCTCGTTGTAACCCCGTCTATGTTAGCCGTGTGATCAGTGCCATGGTAGGACCTAAATTCACGTGCATTACAATTTACATTTAACACTTCATTTAAAAACTTACAAGTTAAGTTTTTAATGCTACCTGTTGTAACAATAATAATAATAATATAAACCAAATTTACTCTTGTGCAACCAATGGATGAGCAAGAACGGAGCATTTGTCTGATTTTCAGGTCAATTTCAATGATGATGAAGGTGTACTAGTGGGACGCTGGGATGGAAACTATAATGATGGATGCAGCCCCACCTGCTGGACTAGTAGTGTTAGCATCCTTCAGCGCTGGTTTCAAAACCGCTGCTATCCTGTCAAGTACGGACAGTGCTGGGTGTTCGCTGCTGTAATGTGTACAGGTACTGCGGATACTGTGTTGTTTTTGTGTGGCAGAGTATTGCCATGAACTTTAATCAAAATTGAGAAGTCATTTGACTTGATCATTTTGTTGTCTGTGATTTCAGTGATGCGATTCTTTGGTATTCCATGCCGTGTCGTCACCAACTTTCAATCTGCTCATGACTCAAACAATAGCCTCACTATTGATGAATATTATGATGACTATGGAGTCCGTAGCAAGGAGGCCTCCGAAAGTGTCTGGTAAGACATTCAGACAGTCAGTCAGATGTGCAAGTAAACTGAAACCTTTATTATTGTTTTCTTCCTGTTTGAGTTTTGAGGCCTGACTTGAAAAGGAACACGAACGTCTGTTAAAGTTACATATTGATAATACTAATGATATATTTTCACACAGACAGAGCTATTATATTATGCAATTTAAAAACCTCAGAGATATAAACTGGAAAGCTCACCTTTCTTGTGCAGGAACTTCCATGTGTGGGTGGAGGGATGGATGAAACGACCAGACCTCATGAAAGGTGGTATCTATGATGGCTGGCAGGTCTTGGATCCCACTCCACAGGAAAAAAGTGAAGGTAAAAACTATTTAGTTTTTATTTAGAAATGAATGCACTGAGACAGATGCACAAATGAATGATTCCAATGAGAAGTACAAACAATTATTTTGTTGGTTCTTTAAAAAAGTTTTTGTTAAATTTGTAAAAGTCCGACTTTGCTTTTGCTGCTCCAGGTATGTTCTGCTGTGGTCCAGCCCCAGTCAACGCTATCCTACGTGGTGACACAGACGTCAAGTATGATGTACCATTTGTCTACGCTGAGGTCAACGCTGACATTGTCAAATGGATGGTCTGTACCAGTGTTATAAAATAACCAGCTGTATACTATACAGTCTGTCTATACAATCTGTATTTCTACCTTTTATCTGAAGAATGAACTCTTTCAGCTCTTTTAAACTCAGTTTTAACCCTAATCCTAACCTTAAAAGATCTGGTACCTACCATTTTTATCAAGTTTTCCCTATTATATGTTATTGTTATTGATACGTCTTCCACAGAGGAAGCAGAATCAGGGGATGATGGAAATGACCTGTTCATCACCGGGAGTAAGGTCACTGAGGCAGTTAAAAAACAACTTAGTGGCAGGGGCCCTGGGGTGGATGAGGTTCACCCTGAGTTCCCAAAGGCTCTGGATGTTTTAGGGCTGTTTTGGTCAACACGCCTCAACAATGGAGATCAGGGTACTTCTGGATTAACAGACTGGTGTGGTGGTTCCCATTATCAAGAAGGGGAACAGAGGGTGTGCTACAACTGTAGAAGGATCACACTCCTCAGCCTCTGCTAGAAAGTCTATGCCAAGGTGCTGGAAAGGAGTGTCTGTCCGTTAGTTGAATCTCGGATACAGAAGGAAAAATATGTTTTTCATTCAATTCAATTCAATTCAATTTATACAGCAAGTTTAATGCCCTTCAATGCCCTGTACCAACAAGGCATTGAAGGTGAACAGTGGCTGAATTATATTCTTAAACTCAGTTACAGCACTTTCAGAAAGACATCTACTGTGATGAAGTCTACTCC